ACAATCACACTGATAACAAATACTCTCTATTAAGGCTTTAATATTATAAAACCTAATTTCACTATGGAATGACAAAAATACCATATCAGTTGAAATACGAAAACTCATGAAAAGCCGGTAGGGAATGAATATTTAGCTAGAAAATTCAAGGATTGCAACATATGCATGCATATATGAAAATATGTAAACATCAAATTTCAAGCATTCCTTCTAACTTTATTGTGATTATGTTTTTCATAGATTATGAATACTTTCCATAAGACAAAGATTGATATTCGATGATAATATGATTATTATTATTTGAAACTGTGCGTGTTGAATATTAGATCCAATCCTTCAGTCAAAGTGTGTAATGCTCCTTCAGAAATTTGATTTTCCCTAGATTCTGATAGATTTATGAGTCTCTAATGGTAAAGAGCTTTATGCTAGGAAGTAGCAAATTTTCAGTGCTTTTTAAATTCTTACTATTATTAGTAGTAGTAATAGTAGTGTTAGTACTTATAGTAGTAGCAGTACTAGTAGTAGAATTAGTAGTAGTAGTAATAGCAGTAGCAGTGTAGTGAACAAGAACACGGATGGGGACAATCGATTGTATTTAGCACAATAATTACAGACTATTTCAATAAAATGTGAATACTATAAAGTCAATCGTCAATTCGCAAAATATCATTCGATCATATCAAACTGTACTGTTCCCGTTGCAAATACGAATCCATTGTCGCCCATTCCGTTGTACATGCGCTTTCTTACAATTCCATTGTGTTCTTGCTCTTCCTTTCTTGAACTTCGCCATCTTTTGCTGCCGGATATAACCATCTTTTAACGCACGTTATATACTACTTATATCAATATAAGTAGCTCACACCAAAGTAGTAGTAGTTGTAGTAAATGTAGTAGTATTATTGATAGTATATTCATTATTATTATTATTATTATTATTATTACTAGAAATATTATTATTATTATTAATAATATTATTAGCGGTAGTAGTAGAAATATTAGTATTTATAGTATTAGTAGTACTAGTAGCAGAAATAATAGTAGTAGTAGTAGTAGTATTAGTAGTAGTAGTAGTAGTACTAGTAGTATGATTAATATTATTATTATTATTATAACTAGTATTATTATTATTATTAGTAGTAGTAATAGTAGTATAATTGTTTATAGTAGTAGCAGTACTAGTAGTAGAATTAGTAGTAGTAGTAATAGCAGTAGTAGTGTAGTGAACAAGAACACGGATGGGGACAATCGATTGTATTGGTATAAGTAGTATATAACGTGCGTTAAAAGAACGTTATATCCCGCAGCAGAGGATGGCGAAGTTCAAGAAAGGAAGAGCAAGAACACAATGGAATTGTTAGAAAACGCATGTACAATGGAATGGGCGACAATGGATTAGTGTTTGCAACGGGAACAGTACAGTTTCACATGATCGAATGATATTTTGCGAATTGACGATTGACTTTATGGTATTCACATTTTATTGAGATAGTCTGTAATTTTTGTGCTAAATACAATCGATTGTCCCCATCCGTGTTCTTGTTCACTACACTGCTACTGCTATTACTACTACTACTAATTCTACTACTAGTACTGCTACTATTATAAATACAAATACTAGTACTATTAATAATAATAATAATATTAATACTAATAATAATACTAGTAATAATAATAATAATATTAATCACACTTCTAATGCTACTACTACTACTACTATTTGGTGTGAGCTACTTATATTGATATAAGTAGTATAAAACGTGCGTTAAAAGAACGTAATATCCGGCAGCAGAAGATGGCGAAGTTCAAGAAAGGAAGAGCAAGAACACAATGGAATTGTAGGAAAGCGCATGTACAACGGAATGGGCGACAATGGATTAGTGTTTGCAACGGGAACAGCATAGTTTCACATGATCGAATGATATTTTGCGAATTGACGATTGACTTTATGGTATTCACATTTTATTGAGATAGTCTGTAATTTTTGTGCTAAATACAATCGATTGTCCTTATCTGTGTTCTTGTTTACTACACTGCTACTACTACTACTACTACTACTATTACTACTACTACTACTACTACTACTACTACTACTACTACTATTACTACTACTACTACTACTACGACTAATACTAATTCTAATACCAGTACTACTACTACTATAAATACTAATAATAATACTACTACAAATAATAATAATAATAAATCTAGTAATATTAATAATAATAATAATACTTACAATAATACTACTACTTATACTGCTACTAGTACTACGACTTTGGTGTGAGCTACTTATATTGATATAAGTAGTATATAACGTGCGTTAAAAGAACGTAATATCCGGCAGCAGAAGATGGCGAAGTTCAAGAAAGGAAGAGCAAGAACACAATGGAATTGTTAGAAAACGCATGTACAATGGAATGGGCGACAATGGATTAGTGTTTGCAACGGGAACAGTACAGTTTCACATGATCGAATGATATTTTGCGAATTGACGATTGACTTTATGGTTTCACATTTTATTGAGATAGTCTGTAATTTTTGTGCTAAATACAATCGATTGTCCCCAGCCGTGTTCTTGTTCACTACACTGCTACTGCTATTACTACTACTACTAATTCTACTACTAGTACTGCTACTACTACTACTACTACTACTACTACTACTACTACTACTACTACTACTTTGGTGTGAGCTACTTATATTGATATAAGTAGTATATAACGTGCGTTAAAAGAACGTAATATCCGGCAGCAGAGGATGG